GTCAAATTCTTCCTTATTCTTACAAATAGGTCAATCTCATATTCCTGGGAACAATAGTGTGGGTGCTGATAACCAAGCTACGGGCGTCAAATAGCTTAGAAACCAGGCATTCCAGGAAGGCCGTCAAGGCCACTCTGATTTTAATGCCGCTAGTCGGCGCCACGTATATGCTGTTCCTGTACCCACCGAGCAATGATCCTATCACAACCAAAGTGTTTAGGTATACCAATGCCTTCTTGCAGTCCACACAGGGATTCTTCGTCGCTTTGTTTTACTGTTTCTTTAACGGGGAGGTAGGGGCATTTTCAGTTTCATAAGTTAATGGATGCCTTATATTAATTATGTATTGCTGTTATTATAGCCACAGTTAGGCATCACGCGTTACCACTATCAGGCATAATACGCTTTAGAGCTATTGCTGTTTTAATATTTCTCTCTTTCTCTGTTCAGTATTAACAAAAAAGGGGGAAAACAAATTTCATAATTCATAAACATTATATGCAATGTTAAGAATGGTGATCTAATTATTACATATGCACCGTGGTCATGTCCAACTCGAAATACATCAGGACCAATCCACTTTTTCGTCTTTCTGTAACTTATGTAGTCTACAGCTGGTCCCTTTTGTTTCATATTAGGTTCAGAATGCTTTGAAACGAAAGTTCTCAAGATGGCAAGACGACAGAAATATAATCAACTCTACGCGGTGGACACGAACATCAATGGACAAAGGCGAAGCAAGGACGAGTCTCTGTGTGAACAACGACCAGCTGCTGCCTCTAAATGAAAAACGAAAGCAAACTGAACTGAGACACAGCACAGCCCCAGATCGAGACCGCAATGGAAACAAAGCGAATGGTCACGTGACCGTTACCGTGGAAATGGATATCGAAAGCTCCAAACCTTTGATTGGTGGTTCTGAGACTGTCGCTAATCTTTGAGCTACTACCTGATATTGTGTAACGCTGGTTCTGCAGAACAAAACGTTGATCGGTTCACTAGGTACAGACGGTAACAGACATTAGATCTACCGCCAAGTACAAATTACTGATTCTGCACCAAATGGTAGAGGACAAGCCTGTGAGTTGGCGGGAAAATGGTCATCAAGAAGTAACTGCTACAAATATTTGATTCGCCGCCAGAAATTTTGCTACATTATTCAAAATGATGTACAATAAGAAACGCTACTGACTGTGGTTTAGTCTTCGGGTGTGTGCAGCTGCACATAATCGAAATGCGCGGTTCAGTACAAAAACACGCCTATTACACAAGTCTCAGGATGTTTACATGGTTGCCACTATTTCAATACTCGGAGTGCATGGTTCTGTTGTTTAACATGTTATGAACAGATACAACGACGGGACTAAAGGCAAAAATAGCGTATATTAGGCTACGCAAAAACGCTAAGCTTTGACAACCTGTTGTTTTTACGAATTTAAGGTACATATAGTACATTTCAAGGCTACTTAATGTTTTTGAAAATCAGTTTTTCTTGATGTGAAAAGTACGTTTTGTTATACGCTGGAATTCGAAAATGTGCAGACTGGACCATATAGTACCGGAGTTAGTGTTGTGAGTTTTGCTTTAAATGGTTATGATATTCTATTGATAGACAAGAAAAGAAAAGTGAAACTTTGCCTTTTTGTTTTATCCACCAACGTTGCCGTTGACCGGAGAGATTTGATTACAGACAGAAAAGTCAACATCATTAGCAAAGTTATTAAGTCTGCGACAAGCTTACAACTCTCTCTTAGTTGAAAAAAATATATAGAACATGGACGACCGTGATGGCCACAAGGCACGTATAGAAGCCATATTGCTTTACATAATTTTTAATATTTTTTCCCACTATGTTCAACAGAGATGTTTATTTAAACATTTGAGGTATTGTCTAGGTTCACAATCAAATCCGTTTCCTAGAACAAATTTGATTCAACAAGTGGACCTGTTCCCAAAGAACTGTAAGAAATTAAAGATTTTGGAATAGGACAAATAATAGTCCAGTGTCATACGTGTTATTAAGGAGAGCGTCAGTTTGTAAATACCGGGGGATAGTGGCCGAATGTAGCCGAGATGTAATGTTAAATGTTCTTGTAGTAAAATAAAATCTGTTCGTTATTTATAACACACTACACTTCAAAGCATGCCAACCATTATGTTTCGTATTTGACTCACCTAGTACTGCAAAGCTATTGGAATGCCTTCTTTGTTATTAAATCATAATGCCACATGATTCTGTTTTTAAAACAGACCATTGCAACGCACAATATTTACATCAGTATATTTTGAGTATATTGGTAAATCAAAAGCTTAAAAGAAATTAATTAACATCCATTTAAAGTCCGCGTTTAAGGTGGGACAAAGCCTTGCTCTGAGCAAAATCATGATTTTCGGATTTTTTTCTCGTCGTTTTAATTCACATATTTATCTTATATCTGCAATAAAAGTATCTTCTCCATCTGGTTTGAAATATTGCTATTTTTTCATAAAGGGATAAATAGTAATATCGCGGTATTTTATATCGGTTGTGTTTTGTTTATCTCTTTAAATGAAATGAAGGGAAGGCGTTTAGATTTAGTAAATCAGAAGAAGAGATCTGTAATTACTGTACAAATGGGAATGGTGTTAAAAGAATCAGAATAACTGGCAGTATTGGTTCTGCACTGAACATTAAACGGCCGATTTCTCACAGTTTGAATTTGGTGAAATATCTTTATTTGTTTTCACTCCACCGTTGGAGGGTGAAACCGGAAGTCACTTGAAACTTATCAATAAATCTATAAGCCACGAAGTACTTAGCAGTGTCATTTGCCATTTGAAATCAATCTAGAACATAAATCATAAATCCTAGGTGATCAGTTAGTAGTTACTTGTTAGTCTAATATGTATTTTTACATCCAAATCGCACACATTTTGGAGCTGCATCTTTAGGTTTGTTAACATAAATTCGTTCCTGAGGAAGGTCTTACTGGCTTATATTTCAGGCCAAACCTTGTTTTGCACAACCAAGCCATACTTACATGACCATATTGAAATATATATGCCATACTGGTAAGAGCGTATTTAAAACAGGCTAAAGGTGTTCCTTAATTAATACCGTATTAATTTGTAATGCCTACTGCAAGCGACTGCCAAAAGCAATTTAAAGCACATCAATATTAATATATAACTTTAACTTTGACGATTGCTGCATGCTGACAGGGTTGTTCTTATAATGGCACTGAAAAGGATCTTCAAGGTACTGGTTTTACTGGTCACTATGTGTTCTGCAATACTGTTGTATTTGCATTGGATGCTCCAGGTAATTATACTTTGACTTCTTTAAAAATGATAACATAAAACTTGATTTCTGCTCGACTAAAAATGTCAAGCAAACAATTGTCAAAGGGACACTGCATAACATGCTATTACAAAATATTTGATTAAATTTCGTTTAAAACCAAAGGATCAGAGAGACGGCACGGCCTTCGGGTATTGTACCACCAGTTGAAGTAAGCTCATTCGTCTTGGAAAAAAAAAAAAAAAAAAAAAAAAAAGGGACACGACCTCCAGTGCTGTGCTTGACAAGCTATACAAAATGCAGTAAACAAAAGTTCTCAATTTTTTTTAGAAAATTACCATTCATAAGAAAATCGTGGGGAAAAGTAAAAGATCAAATCCAAGATTGCGGTAAGATTGTGAATATAGGACTTCCCGAATTCATTAGTAACTATGAGACCTTGGAAATTTGCAAAGTGTGGTTCATGGTGAAAAGTAGGTCAAAGGTCGATTTCAAGGTCACAGTGAGATTGCCAGTATTTGATTTCCTTTTCAAGTGCATTAGTATGGGCGTATCCCTGCTAATTTTGGAGTATTTCACATTTTATTTTCACCAGTGAATATTGCGATGTTGCAATTTGTGATATAGCGCAGCTCGTAAACCGCATGGAAAACGAATATAATAATAAAAATAATAATAATAATGTTTATTTGCAACTAAAACAGTTGGATTGTACAGTAATATAAATTGTCAAACTCACTAAATGAGGATAAAGTTAATAAAACTTATTTAAAGGTCTTGAGGTGAAATAAAATATTCGGTCCTCTGAGGATATTAAAAAAATAATTCATTTGAAAACACACAAAGAACTATAACAGGACATAATTTAGTGGTACGGTTTGATTGTTTCTGAAGATTTAATGGTTCTCAATTTTGGCACGGTATAAATTTGAGTTCAACGCAGAGTATTTGTCAAAGCTCGGGTATAAACGTGCCCCACACGCACATTTGAAGCAGGCTGAAATCCTTCTTCAGTCTGGGAGTCACTGACCCATGACTGAGTTGGATGGAGAAGCACTGTGCGATCTGGTGTCAGTGCCGTTGAAGGGAAGAAACAGGAGGAAGCCCATGCAAAACGTATGAAACACCACTCACAGCCTAGTCAGCAGTAACTATGCCGACGTTTCACACACACGAACACACCCACACAATATATATATATATATATATATATATATATATATATATATTAAAAGTTAAAACGTTTTTCCTGTACGAGTAATATAATATATTGTATATATATTGTAACCCAGCGGGCAAATCAACCTTGAGGTATCAATGTTGAATCAACTTTGACGGTCAACTTTGAAACTATGTTGATATGACTTTGACTATGAAAGTTGAATCAACGTTGAACCATTAAGGTTGAATCAACCTTGAGGTATCAATGTTGAATCAACATTGATACCTCAATGTTGAATCAATGTTGAAATTAAGTTGAATTTGAAAATTGAATTAACGTTGATATATCAATTAGGCTATCAGGATATTTGATTGAAATTTGCCTGATGGCTGAAGGTGTTCTCCAAGATATCAAGCATTTCTTGAAAAAAAAAGACTCAGATCTGAAAAGGGGGGAAAATTAGGAAAATTACCTACAAAAAAAGGTAATTTCGGAAGAAAAGGGGGGAGGTCCAGACACCGGGACAGGCCCCTGTATCCACCTATGGGTCGTCAGATTCTTTTAAAACTTTCCAGTTTGTTGCTCATGAGAATGAAGTATGCATGATGTACGGACCAAAACAGCCCGAACATAAAAAAAGACAAACCACAACTAATTTAAATATGAATATAATATATTACAAACAATGAACATACACTACATACACTAACTAATACTATCATGTTGCATAAACTTTAACATTTGTCAAATACAGTTAAATTCTAACAGATTCGTAGACAGTTAAGTTTTGAAGACGCAATGTCACAGTTTTCCGAGTCCTTATCTGTTGAACGTTCCTCCTGATAGTGTGGGGTTTTGAAGACGCAATGTCACCGTTTTCCATGTCCTTATCTGTTGAACGATCCGCCTGATAGTGTGGGGTTTTGAAGACGCAATGTCACCGTTTTCCATGTCCTTATCTGTTGAACGATCCGCCTGATAGTGTGGGGTTTTGAAGACGCAATGTCACCGTTTTCCATGTCCTTATCTGTTGAACGATCCGCCTGATAGTGTGGGGTTTTGAAGACGCAATGTCACCGTTTTCCATGTCCTTATCTGTTGAACGATCCGCCTGATAGTGTGGGGTTTTGAAGACGCAATGTCACCGTTTTCCATGTCCTTATCTGTTGAACGATCCGCCTGATAGTGTGGGGTTTTGAAGACGCAATGTCACCGTTTTCCATGTCCTTATCTGTTGAACGATCCGCCTGATAGTGTGGGGTTTTGAAGACGCAATGTCACCGTTTTCCATGTCCTTATCTGTTGAACGATCCGCCTGATAGTGTGGGGTTTTGAAGACGCAATGTCACCGTTTTCCATGTCCTTATCTGTTGAACGATCCGCCTGATAGTGTGGGGTTTTGAAGACGCAATGTCACCGTTTTCCATGTCCTTATCTGTTGAACGATCCGCCTGATAGTGTGGGGTTTTGAAGACGCAATGTCACCGTTTTCCATGTCCTTATCTGTTGAACGATCCGCCTGATAGTGTGGGGTTTTGAAGACGCAATGTCACCGTTTTCCATGTCCTTATCTGTTGAACGATCCGCCTGATAGTGTGGGGTTTTGAAGACGCAATGTCACCGTTTTCCATGTCCTTATCTGTTGAACGATCCGCCTGATAGTGTGGGGTTTTGAAGACGCAATGTCACCGTTTTCCATGTCCTTATCTGTTGAACGATCCTCCTGATAGTGTGGCGTCACAAAGTACAGTTAAAAAAGTACAGTTTTTGTACTGTAAAATTGTTACACACTGTCCACACTCACGTGTTGCATCAGTTCATGTTATCCGGAGTCTCGCCCTTAATAACAGTCCCGCACTTCATTTACATTATAGAAGTATTCAGGCACATACGTACGGCAATTACTCATAAAAATTAAACAACAAATTAGCTTTACTAAAATAATTAACACAATAACGTCACATCAGGTAGTTAAGATAATTTTAAGAAAACAAAAACAAAGGGTCACCCGTCTAATTTTTTCTCACAGCTAACTTAAATTTCCAGAAAAACAGGCATTTTTGGCTTTTTCAAGCTTTTTCTTCAACCTTGAGTAAAATTTTGTCCATTTGCCATAAAGTAAGGCTGGTGACCCTATGTTTTTTTCTTTTTTTTTTAAGATAACCTGAACATCAAATCTGGAAAGTTTAAAAAAAAACTGACGACCGCTTTTTTCACAAAATTAATTTTAATGAAAAAGGGGTAAAACAAGCGTTTTATGAGGGGTAATTACCCTATGCATACCTCTCTAGTGAGATAATCATTTAAAACTATTATCAAGGTTATGATTAAGGTTATAAGGTTAAGGTTGACCCAATGTTGAGATCCAGTTGATATGTCAACATTGACAAAGGGTTTACAAACACAGGTTGATTCAATGTTGAAATCCTGTTGATCTATCAACATTGAAAATTGATTGACAAAGAAAGGTTAAATCAATGTTGAGACCCTGTTGA